CAATGATCTTACCAGCTGTGTTCACTATGCGTTGTAGTGCTTTTCTGCTGTATTCAGTGCAGCTCCCGCCCCACACAGTGATGCAGCTGGACAGGATGCTTTCAATGGTGCCCCGGTAGAATGTGCACATGATGGGTGGGGGAGCTTTCGGAGGAAGTAGAGGCGCCGCTGGGCTTTCTTCGCCAGTGATGCAGTGTTTCAACAATCATGAACCACACTGTTTAATAATCACAATGCATGATACTTAATAGAGACATTAACTTTACCTTTCCAAATGGCATGGTGTAGTGTTCAATGTGAGGCCCGGGCACTGGTTGAGGGTGTTCATTATCATCTGCTATCACTATGGTGACGGTGGGATAATATTGCCGTATGCTGTCGATGAGATCTTTGAGTTTGTCATAGCGTAGAAAGGTCTTGGTGGCGATGGTAACTAGAGCACTAATATTGTACTCTATGTAGAAACAAGAAACACATATAGTAAATAAAAAGATCCCATGAAGTGACCTTCTGTGACACTTTGCATCAAAATAAAACTGATAACGATATATAAGGTCACAAACCTCCTTGGTATCCAGAGTTGTAAAGTTTTGGTATGGTTGCATGTCCAACTTTAATGGTGAAAAATGACTGATGATCTTTAGTTGCAAACTGAACTGCAGAACAAAACAACAACTGTTCAGGTTTCAGAATTCATAAAAAGAAATAAACCTATTTGTTATTGTTATTTTTAATGGTTAAACTATGCAAAGTTTTAATTGCCTATGCTTTGTCACTGACTTCATTGCTGTTGGCTTTGAGAGGGCTGCAGACAGACATGTAGCACTCCTGAGCCATTTCTACTATACTTAAGAGTGATAAACCATGGGAGGCGTTCCACAGTCACAGGTCCAAAGGTTCCTTGTTGGTTTGAGACATTCCTGACTGACTCTTTGTGATAAGGTTTGTGTGTCTCCTATTGTAACTACAATACAATGTGAGTAGCATGAGAGCAAGGCACATTTCCTGCAAGTAGGTGCCTAATGCCAGAAGCTGAATGTTGGCAACCCTTATATATACACACTCTGTCAGGCGCTAGTTAATGTAGAATATTCCCAAGAGGGTGGGAATATTCGCATTCGGTCTAGAAAACTGAAAATGTTCATGACAATAACACTTCTAGTTGTTATTTGTTATTTTATGTTTTTTTGTTTAAAAAAATAATTATATCTATCAGAGCAAAAGAGGAATTTGAACTCCTATTAAACTCCTAATTAACATCAAGCTTTCTTCTACACTACCTAGCCCATGCACTATATATTTTGCATAAAGTTTGCATGACGGGTTCGCCAGCCAAAATGTTGAAACTTTGATGCAGATAACTTTGTGTGAGAATTCCACCCACTCAGCCAGGATATGACATAAGTGGTCCTAGTGGTTGGATGCCTCACGCCTAACTGCAAAAACATAATGTCTTTCCAACCTTCCTGTTTAGAAAGATATTGTGAAAGCAGTGTTTGTCACATCTAACCTTGCTTCATCTCTCTCCCTTTTGAGTTGAGTCCTGTTCACTTAAGCCCAGAGATGTTTTATTTTTGGTGTTTATTAAAAGTAACCATATAATATTAATAATAAAAAAAGAACCCATAACATCTTTAACCCATTTACCATAATGTCATTCATTACATATCTATCCAAAATAATGTGATGTGTAATGTAATGTATTACCACTGAGTACTCTATTAGGTTGAATAGGTAAACACAACACTCTACTTTTAGGATAAAGATACGTCCACATGCTAAGTTTACCTGTATCTGCTGTCTTGGGATGGAACACAGTGTTTGTATAGGTGACAAACTGCAGCTGCCTATTCAGGGCAGAGAGAAGAGGACTCGACAGTGTCATGTGCTTATCTCCCTCTCCTTTAACAGAAACTCCGTCCACTGTAGCAGCCACATCAAAAGTCCCCAGTGTTGCTGTCAAATATACCTGTTACACACAAAAAGTCTAAAATATTTAGACAGAAAAAATGGGTATGTCAACCACAATGTAATCACCAAAATGAAGAAATTACCGTATGGTTTGGTCTTTTTTCTTCTTTAAGACCCAAACCTATGGAAAGAGAGCAGTTATTACTGGTGATATCAACACAGGGTGCTTTATCATTTTAACAAAGACTTAAATAGCAAAAGCAGCACCAAAAGGTGAAGGTGAAGATGTATTGTTTAAACTATCAGTTTCATGTCATGTCATGTCATGTAGAATATGCTTTTACCAGGAATGATGATTGTTTTGAGGGGTCGCACCTCCACGCCCTGGGTAGGATACTGAAGAGGATTGTTGGCCTCAGCTATAATCAGCACATCTGCAGGATTGTAGGACCTTTACATTCAGAACATATTAGAGAGGAAAGTACTTTGATTCATCACTGTGCAATTAACACCAATCCAATTTACTTTCAGCAACCTGATTTATGTCAGGAATTGCTCACTTCTATAGTTTGACAGAGAGAGAAGAGACACAGAGAAGGCTCAGTCCACAGTTAATACAACCGTGCACACCTTTTTCCTGTCCAAACTTGCACAACTTCCTGTTTACATGACATAAAAGAAATCAGTTCACTTTAGAAAGCTGACAGAAACCGGGTTACTTATGTGCATTCAGTGCATGGTCTTAATAACTACCATGCATTGAGCATTGCAAATAACCCCAGTTCAAATGATAGATAGGTAGATAGATAGATACTTTATTTATCCCGAGGGAAATTCAAGATGAAATTCGGGTAAAGGACACCAAAAACAGCAAAGCGCATGCCAGTTTACAGCCAGAATGTGGGCGAGGCCATTAAATAGACAACAGTGTGAGTGTATTCAGTAAGTCAGGAATGTCTTTCCAAACTTAAGCAATTCCTGACTAAAGCTTGCAGGTCAGAGGACAAAATCCTCCCTTAACACGGACTCTCTCACAATTTTATGAAGCAGGTATCATCTTACAACAGTTTATATAGTCAAACAGACAGTTACATGTTTACACATGGGTGGGTTCACTGAGTTCAATAATGTGTCAATTATATTTTACCTCTTCTGAAAGCTGCTGTATTCCTGCGCTCGGTGACGCTTTGTACCCTCAGGGTCAGGATGGGACTCTAAGAACGCGGTACCAAGGTTATGGGCCCACACGCGTGGGAAGAGCAGATTGGAGAATGGCAGTTGAAAGGTCTCCTTATCAGCCACACACACACATGTAGTTTGAGCCAAACGACTGTGTCAAGGAAACAAATATCTGATTTGAAAAGGAAAATTCAATAAAACAATTCCAACAAAATAACTGACGATAACATACCGTGCCACATCCTCCTTTATGTGGTAGGGAACGTCACTATAGCCACTGATTATGTCTTGAATTTTCACATCGAGAAGATTATTTATCGGACTTCGCTGTCTTGGCTGTATGTCAACTGCTGAGCTGGTCCCAGGGCTCCAATAATGAAAGAAGACTAGCAGCAGTAGTCCACAGACTAAAATCATCACAAGACTCTTCTTACAGGTGGTGCGCATCTAGAATGAAGATTAAAGTAACAAAAAAAGTCAAAACGGTATAGCACAGGTTGGCCTCTGCTGTCTTGCGTCCTGTTCCAGGTACTGCCCTCTCCCTTCCGACTGGTCAGGCACACCTGCAGTAGTTTAGCAATCAGGAGGATCGCTTTAAAGCTGAAACCACCAGATAGAGTCCTGTTGCTGTCGGGTGTGGAGCAGAGCTGTGTGGTGCTCGTCGTGTGTTACCATTATTTCCTCAGTGGACGGATGGCGTTATTTATTTATTGGATCAGTGATTTGCTTAGTTAAATGTTTTTTCACTTCCTTTCTTTTTAGGAGGTTGTTCTGGGTTAACGTTTGACTTCGTTTTCGTTTAAATATATAATTTAAAAGTACAAATATTTCTATTTCCTGCCGTTCTTTAACCGCCCGGTAAATTATTAATTGTTGCGCCATCTCTTCCCCTGGGTCCCACAACGGAAGCCATGCCATCATGTGGTAAGTGTAAAACAACTCAAAACAACCGTAAAATCCTCGTGATTCCCCACAAATATCACAAAAATGTGTTGTATATTTTTGTAGAGCCATTTTATAGGACTATACATATTTGATTCATTTTGTGATTCAAATATTTTTGTAAAATATGTGAAACTAATCAAATGATATTTGAGTGTCTGACTAGAAGCGGTTGGTAAGTAAGCAGTTCAAAATATGACTGATTGTTAATAGATTCAGTGAATGCAGGAATATCCAGAATTACTTAGTAGGAAAGGAGCTTATCAAGTTTGTCCTGCAAATATTTTTTAAAGGTTTTCTGTTCATTACATGCAATGGCAAACTCCAGAGCATTTTAAAAATCAGGCTTGGTCATTACACATCTGACTACATAGCTATATTTATACTTTAAAAATCCTTTATTCACCAATGTTGCTGCTGTGGCAGGTACAGTATGCGTTTGTATTAAAAACGATGGTACTTTTTGCTTCCCTGAGTGGCAAACCGGTTCTTAAACTCACTTGCTATAAAATCTTTTTTATATATATAAAAGCAGTTAGTGGGTTAGACGCCTCACCTTTCAAGAAGCCTTCTTACAAAATAAGCCATATAGTCGCACGTCTACTCCTACAGTCTCTTTGGTAAATACTGTAAAATACAGCATTATCGAACCAATGAAACCAGTATTTTAATACCCAAACACGCCCTACATTTCTGTTCGGTAGTAGACATACATTAGGAAGACAGACAAACATATTTCTTACTGTTTCCGTGGGATAAATATTTCCAACGTCTGATCAAATTTGAAAGCCAACCACAATTCACTAAACTGTTCCTGTCTATCTAGGTTACTTGCACATTTTCTGATGAAATACTGTAATCTGCTCAGCGGTGTAAATGATTATACGGCAGTTATATTTTTTTATATTAAGTTTGCTTTGTTTGCTGTCAGGATACCGCCTACCTTTTAAAGTGACACTCCCTTCAGAAACAAACCCTAGATAGAAGTCCTGTGTGACTGGATATTTTCCTTTGTGATTCAAACTAATTGATGCATTATGTTAAGTGCTTTTGTTATCCAGCTGCTCAAACAGAGCAGATGATTTCTGTAATCGATCACTGGCCTGTAAGCCTCAAATTGATAGTGGTGGAAGAAGTACTGAGATCCTTAACTTGATTAAAACAGTGCAGCAGTGTAAAAAAAATACTAAGTCTGCTAAAAGTTCTATATTAAACACCAACTTGAGTAGAAGTACAAAAAGACAAACCAACAAGTAGCTATTACTGTGAGTGTACTGAAGTTGATACAATATATAATATCTTAAACAGGTGTAATATACAGAAGAGGACTATAATTATACTTCATGCATAAGCCATGACAGTTTGGAGTGGACAGACAGATCCTGGTTTTCTTCCGTTCATTTGTGTAGTCATTTTGAGAGTACTCTAACTTGTTTTGTTTTTAGGTATTTCTCAAGGTTAAACTTCCAAAGTGTGGTGCAGCCTCCCACATCCTCTGTGGTGAGTACAAGTTGCTATTAGAACTGGACTACATAACATTCCCCTTTCCAGTGTTCAGTTCCACATTTTGTCACACTCTTAATGTGGTTGTGGAGCACTTTGCTTTTAAATGTATGTCTTTAACTGTAGCCTAATTTATTTTGTTGTGGCTGTATTTGTCTGACAGCTGCTATAGACACAAAGGGAATTTTTCAAAAGGATAATCTAAATACACCAATTAGCCATAACATTATGACCACTGAAATGTGATATGTAGATATATAGATATAGAGAGAGATATCTATCACTAATTATCTGGTTATCATGGCACCTGTCAGTTGGTAGGATATATTGGGCAGCAAGTGAACATTTTGTCCTCAAAGTTGACGTGTTAGAAGCAGAAAAATGAGCAGCATGAGGATCTGAGCGACTTTGACAAGGGCCAAATTGAGATGGCTAGATGACTGGGTCAGAGCATCTCTAAAACTGCAGCTCTTGTGGGGTGTTCCCTATCTGCAGTGATCAGTACCTATCAAAAGGGCTCCAAGGAAGAAAAAGTATTTTGAGCCAAACGACTGTCAAGGAAAAAATATCTGATTTGAAAAGGAAAATTCAATAAAACAATTCGAACAAAATAACTGACTAATAACATACCATGCCACATCTTCATTTATGTAGGCAACGTCACTATAGCGACTGAAGATGTCTTGAATTTTCCCATCGAGGTGATTTTTTTTTAATTTTTTTTTTTTTAATTGGACTTCCTTGTCTTGGCTGTATGTCAACTGAGCTGGTCCCAGGACTCAATAATGAAAGAAGGCTAGCAGCAGTAGTCCACAGACTAAAATCATCACAAGACTCTTCTTACAGGTGATGCGCGTCTCGTTCCCCACCGACGGCGTTTACTTTATGGGTAACGACATAGCTGGGGGTAAGGTATATCCATCACCTGAGTTTGTTGATGTCCCTACTGCAGAGTCTAGAGATGATCTGGTCCAACGTTGCCCTGATGTGTCTTCAGTTAGTGCTCAGGATGTTCTTTCTAACTCTGTTTGCTTCTGCCTCATCTGAGGACAGGTTGCCACCTATTTGTGAGTTGGAGAACTGTACTACAGAACCAGAAAGGTGTGAAGGTGTGGCAGTTCCTCCAGCCCCTTTGCACCCTATTCCTGCTGTGGAGAAGCTGTCCAGGGGGTGCAGAAAACTCCGGAGACTGCTGCCCCCTGCGAGACATCTACTACTTTCATTTGTGCTGAATCTTTGTCTGACAGTTTGCCTCTACTTGGTAATGGTCAGTGGAGACGTAGTGTCTCTGATCCACTCTGGTCCATCTGTTCAGTGGCGTGCCATATAGTTTAAGCATTTTCCAACATTTCGCAGTTTACCATTTTACTTTAGTGAAAAGGGAGCTAGTAAGATGTACAAGAAGGGGGCTGATAATGTGGTGGCTGATGCCCTGTCCCGTGGGTGAGTGAAAAAAGAACAAACTAATGTGGTGTATGTTTTATTGAGGTAAGTTTAGTGTTTCCTGGCAAACTAGTAGTTTGCTCTTATGGGAGGGGGTGTTGCGTGTGTAGGTTTTGCCTCTGCCGTCTTGCGTCCTGTTCCAGGTACCGCCCTCCCTTCCAACTGGTCAGGCACACCTGCAGTACCTTAGCAATCAGGAGGATTGCTTTAAAGATGCTGCAATGACAACAGACGGGGCCAGTGGGCCAAAAACCACCAAATGGAGTCCTGTTGCTGTCGGATGTGGAGCAGAGCTGTGTGGTGCTCAGTAACGTTATTCTCTCAGTGGAGGGATAGCGTTATTCATTTATTGGATCAGTGATTAAATTTTTTTTCATTTGTTTTTAGGAAGTTGTTTTGGATTAACGTTTGACCTCATTTCCGCTGAAATAAATAGTTTAAAAGTACAAATATTTCTGTTTCCTGCCCTTCTTTAAACGCCCGGTAAATTGTTAATTGTTGTGCCTCTCTTCCCCTGGACCCCACAATGGAGGTTGTAACAGAAGTTCATACAGAAAGATTATCTTCATGCGGCTAACTACTTACACACTTTTCCTTTTCTTCTTCCAACTCAATCAGATGACATTTGAGGGTATTTACTCTTTCAGGGAAGGTATTCAGCTCATGGCATCACAACCCCATAAAATATGATGTCATGATGGGGTCTCATATTTCTTCAACTTACCTATTGTGCGCTATGTCGAATAATTGAATTATTAAATTTAAGTCTCTGATTGAACTGACTTTGATTGGATTGTTGACAATTTTGACAAGTTTCTGAACAAGCCTGCAGATATTTTTGTGATCTCTCACCTACAGAGATTGCAGTTGATATCAAGATAGTTTGAAATGGGTTTCACGCTCGAATCAGACTCGGTACCACCATGAGACTAGAGGCAGTTTATTATAATATGATATAGCATATATAACTGAACAAAATTATAAATGCAACAATTTTGTTTTTGCCCCATTCATCATGAGCTGAACTCAAAGATCTAAGACTTTCTCTATGTACACAAAAGGCCTATTTCTCTCAAATATTGTTCACAAATCTGTCAAAGTCTGTTAGTGAGCACTTCTCCTTTGCCGAGATAATCCATCCATAATAATTCATCTACCTCACAGGTGTGGCATATCAAGATGCTGATCAGACAGCATGGGTATTGCACAGGTGTGCCTTAGGCTGGCCACAATAAAAGGCCACTCAAAAATGTGCAGTTCCATCACACAGCACAATGCCACAGATGTTGCAAGTTTTGAGGGAGCGTGCAATTGGCATGCTGACTGCAGGAATGTCCACCAGAGTTGGCTGTTGCCCGTGAATTGAATGTTCATTTCTCTACCATAAGCCGTCTCCAAAGGCGTTTCAAAAAATGACCAGTCACTTTTTCTACTTTGTATTTGAGTTGTCATCAAATAAAGTACAGTCAGGCCTTCTGCTGTGCTGTTTGTGTGTGGAGCTTAACCTTGCCCACTGTCCTTCAGGAGAGGACAGAGAAAGCTAGCACAACTATAAATGGCAGCAAAATGTGGTGCTCCCTATTCATAACATTGATTATTATTAATTTGGCTGTTTTGGTGCCCCTATCTAGTAGAAGAAATATAATATCCATAATATCCCAGCACATAGACCAACCACAGGGATTGTTGAACAAGACGACTTTATTCTTTTTACTGCTGCACACACAATAAACACACAACTGAGCCTGCTTCCTGCAGTCTGCTCCAGTTGTGTCTCTTCTGTCATGTGTCGCGCCCAAGGTCTAGCACACTACTGCCTTAAAAGAGGTTCCCCACAGCTCTCTCCTCTGCAGCTGAGTGCAAACCACACCAACCTCCAGTCTAACTGCCGCAGCTGCTCTACTTAGCAGTACATATCTGATGCGGAAGGTGTTTAACTGCTGCTGAGGTCAGCTGCAGATCCTGTTGGTGTTTTGAGGGCTAACAGACAAATCTCTCTGCAAACAATGCTCTCAAATTTTTGAAAGGGCATTTTTGTGTGAAAACAACTTGGATCAGCAAAACCTTTTCTTCTGTGTCTTTTCTTTTTTTCTGCACAGGAAGCCACCATAAGGAGTGGAATAGATAGCCTGGCTGATCCAATCTTGATCTTGTGGTCATAATCTAGTCTGTATAAATACCACATCATGCAGCAAGATATGCGCGTCAACAGTTATTATGAAAAGCTCAGAAATAGCCTTAGAAATACAAATGGAGCCAAAACCTCCCTTTATCATCGAAGTTTAAAGAAAAGACTGAAACTAATGTCAAAATGCTGAACTTTCCAATGGAAATACTTACTGCAGAGCAATTAAGTAGTGTAATATATCTGATTGAGTAGTTTTAACTTTTATCTGAACAAAAGCTGCCAATTTGTCCAGTTGTTGCTGAATTATGTCTTGTATTGACTATTGTGGTGTGGCTGCTATTTTCCGATCTGCACACTACAATGCAAATTAAGATTTAACCTCACCATGCCATCATGTGGAAAGTGTAAAACAACTTAAAAACAACAATAAAATCCTTGTGATTCCCCACAAATATCACAAAAATTGATTCATTTTGTGATTTCAAATATTTTTGTAAATATTGTGTGTTTATATGTCATATATATCAAATGATATTTATGATGTCTGACTAGAAGCGGTTAGTAAGTAAGCAGTTCAAAATATGACTGATTGTTAATAGATTCAGTGAATGCAGGAATATCCAGAATTACTTAGGAAAGGAAGCTTATCAACAAATAAGTTTGTCCTGCAAATATTTTTTTTTTTATGTTTTGTGTCATCACTGGACCGAGTAGTTCAACTTTTCTATATCAGAATCACAATCAGAATTGGGTTTATTGCCAAGTTAGTTTTTACACGTACAAGGAATTTACCTTGGTGCTTTGCATAGATATATATACTGACTAGATGTCGCCTTGGGCTTCTAAGCATACGTCAACACCGCCGCCATCTTGGAGCGGGGTTCTGATGAGCCAAATTAGTTTTCCCGCATTCAGATCAGCTCTAAGGATGCCGGACTTTTGTGCTGCTTATGGATGTTCGAACGAAAGAAATGAAAAAAACAAACAGCAAGGGATAACATTTCACAGGTGAGAATGTGTTTTATGATATTGAATGTTACGAAAGTATATTGTTTCAGTCTCATGTTTCAGTATATATATCTATGGTTGGTTCGTGACGTTTTCAAAATAAAAGCACGACCGTCAAAAAGGTACTGCATGAAATATTGAGCTGTGAAGCCTTTAGGTCGGATTTTTTTGTGATTGTCATTAGATATGAGTACAATACAGATGTAAAAGCAAATACACATACTATTAAGTGGAAGAATAATAAACCTACGCCTACTAGTACTAGGCA